AAGAGATCCTTGCTAAGACTGAGGAAGTAGCTAATAGAATGGAGGTGGTTGCTAAGAGGAGTTATGCTGACGTATTAGGAGGGCCACGGGGGGGGGCGGGCGGAGAGTAATGCAGAATCAGTACAGGTTCTACAGCAGATTGGGACTCTGAAAAAGTGTGTCGAAGAAATGAAAATTAACGCACCTACTGTTAGGGGAGAGGAGGAACACCAGGAACGGCTCCAGCGCAGGAACAATGTAATAGTTTTTGGAGTCCCAGAGAGCCAGGCAGAGGGAACTGTGAGTAAGGAAACACACGACAAGGTGCTGTTTCAAAATATTTGCACAGAGGTTCTGAAGATTCCAGCAACCCCTCAGGATGTGAGGAGACTGGGACAAAAGCAGGGGGCTAAGCCTCGCCCCCTCAGGATCACACTAGGGAGTGAGGAGGAGAAATGGCAAGTTATCCGGCAGGCAAAAAACTTAGCAAGGAGCGAGGCATTTCGGGATGTATTTATTCACCCAGACCGCACGGTAATGCAGAGGGAACAGCACAAGAAGCTCCTGCAGGACTTGAAGCAGAAGAGGGAGGAGTCGAGGAGGAACGGGGACAGGTGCACATGGGTTATACTCAGGGGGAGGGTAGTGGAAACAAGTGTGCCGACACAGGGCCAGGGGGCAGCAGTGCACCCTCCACCCACTCAACCCCCCACCCGGGAGGCGGCACCAGCTCAGCCTACCAGACAGGAGGGAACGAGCGCCGTGTAAACAATGACATTTTTAACCACACCCTGCAAAATACAGTGTACTTAGCAAATGCTGCAGCTTCTGAGAATGTGGGTGGAGCGGGTTTATTACTAAGAGCAGAGACGTTACCGAGAACAAATTCTGGCTTGAATGTCATGTACACTAATACTGACACGTTCCTTGATAAGAGGGAGGAGTTTGAAACACTACTAAGAGTACACCAACCAGATATTGTAGGAGTTGTAGAACTGTTGTACAAGAACAGGAGAATCGACCCAGAGGAATGTGAGTTCAGTATTGCTGGATATGACTCATTTACGAACCTAACTCAAGAATCCTGCAGGAGGGGTGTGGTTATCTACGCTAGGCAAGACCTTAGAGCCAGCCAGGCGAGGGTACAGGGAGAGGATGTTTTTGAAGAGTCCAAGTGGTGTAAAATTAAATTAAAGGGAGGGGACTTACTTATCGTCGGGCGTATCTACAGATCCCCGAACTGTGGCCCACTAAATCAAAGGAACTTAAGAACCTTAATAAACAATGCGGCAATGCTCAACCCCAGCCACCTCCTTATCATGGGGGACTTTAACTATGGCGACATCGACTGGAGAAACGAGTCCACCCCGAATGACTTGAATAATCCTGCTACTCTTTTTGTAGAAACTCTGAGAGATAATTTTCTGTTCCAACATGTGAGAGACCCGACACATTACAGAGGGGAGCAAACACCCAAGCCACTTGACCTCATCATAACAAACGAGGAGGGTATGGTGGCCAAACTGGAACACCTTGCCCCAGTTGGCACCAGTCACCATACAGTGTTGTCATTCAGATTTAACTGTTACCTAGTTCAAGATAAGGCCAGGCCAAGGTGCAAATATTACAAGGGAAATTACAATGGGATGAGGGAAGAGATGAGGGGTATCAACTGGCCTGACTTATTAAGGTACAAGAACGCAGACACTACGCTGAATATCATAACTAGTAAAATGACCCATTTGATCGATAAATATATACCCAAGACCAAACCCAGTGCTTCTAGGAATACGAGGGGATCCCTACACATGAACCATGCGGCGGTCGACAAAATTAAGAAGAAAACCCAGAAATTCAAGACGTGGGTTGGGTCAAATGATGAGCAAGACAGGAGGATGTATGCAAGAGCCAGAAACCAAGCAAAGATAGAGTGTAGGAGGGCTGAAAAGGAGTTCCAAAGGCTGGTTGCACGCGAGGTCAAGTCAAACCCAAAGGCGTTTTACCGCTATGCAAAGTCGAAATTGAAAACGCGAGTAGGAGTATCAGACCTGAGGCTTGAAGATGGTAGTTATGCAGATTCTGACCAGGATAAAGCTGAGGCATTGAACAGCTTCTTTTCCTCAGTGTTCACAAGAGAGGATGCAACTAACCTTCCTGCGTTTGAGGACAGACGGTTCGACACAGCACTGACCCACATTGTGTTCACAGAAGAGGGTATTAGAAATAAACTGTCCAGGCTAAAGGTCCATAAGAGTCCTGGGCCTGACATGGTGCATCCTAGAGTGCTAAGGGAGCTGTGCAACGAGCTTGCAGAGCCCCTGAAGATTCTGTTTTGTAAATGCCTGGATGAACAAATGGTCCCCAGTGAATGGAAAGTGGCTTATGTGAGTCCTATCTTCAAGAAGGGCGATAGTCACTCCACGAACAACTATAGACCGGTGAGCCTGACCAGCATAATATGTAAAGTACTTGAGAGTATTATCAGAGATGCAGGGATGGAACATCTACTACGAAACAACCTTGTAAAAGATTGCCAACACGGTTTTATGCCGGGGCGCTCTTGCTTCACACAATTGCTCAAGGTATTGGATATTTGGATCCATATTCTAGAACGGGGTGGTAATATCGACAATATTTACCTAGATTTTGCCAAGGCTTTCGACAGTGTACCCCACGAAAGGCTGAAAATCAAACTGGAAGGGTACGGAATTCGGGGAAATGTCCTAGCGTGGATAGAAGACTTTCTACATGACCGCAAGCAATGTGTGGTGATTAATGGCACGAAATCGTCATCTGTACCTGTAACAAGTGGGGTACCGCAGGGTAGTGTATTGGGCCCGCTGTTGTTTGTTTGTTTCATAAATGATATGCCTGACGTTGTACACTCCTCCATACAAATGTTTGCCGATGATGGCAAGTTATTTCGGGAAATTAAGAACCAAGCGGACTGTGAAGAGCTGCAGAAGGACCTCTGTGGGCTCCAGGAATGGTCGAAGGAATGGCTGCTGAGATTCAATGTCACGAAGTGTAAGAGGATGCACCTGGGGCGTACCAACGGTAAGGAGGCGTACCATATGTCCCAACGGGATGAAGAAAATGTACTAGTTGAGACTGTGTGTGAGAAGGACCTAGGTGTGTATGTTGACAATGAGCTGAAGTTCTCGGGCCATTGTGAGAAGAAGGTAAATCAGGCAAATAAATTATTGGGTCTTATAAGAAGGTCGTTCAGATATCTAGACGGTCCGTCCCTCGTGACGATCTTCAGGAGTGAAGTGCTTCCCCATCTGGAGTACTGTCACCCCATCTGGTCCCCGAGATATGCTAGGGACTGTCAGTTGGTTGAAAATGTTCAAAGGAGGGCCACCAAACTGGTGCCTGCACTTCGGCACCTCAGCTACCCTGAGAGATTGGAGCGCCTGAACTTGCCTAGCTTATACTACAGACGGGCAAGGGGGGACCTAGTTGAGGTTTATAAGCATCTCAGGGGGCACTACTCAGTTGAGTGTCCTTACTTGGAGCTGGCGGACGCTCGCCCCACAAGGGGTCACAGCTCAAGATTGAAGAAGCCGCAAGTCCAGAAAACCGTGAGGGCAAACTTTTTCGGAGTGAGGGTTGTAAACTCTTGGAACAATCTACCAGAGAGTGTTGTGACGGCACCGAGTGTGAGCTCTTTCAAGAGAAGACTTGACCAACACTGGAGCGGGTTCAGGTACATTCAGGAGCCGGTGCATGCCCAGTATTTGCCAACAGTGCGTGACAGAGACGTGACCGATCGCCCGGGCGGCTAGCGAGCCGACCTTTTGGTGAAGAATATAAAGGAAAAGAGACGTGACCGATCGCCCAAGCGGCTAACAAGCCGATCAGTGGCGAAGAGGATAAAAGTAAAAAAATAGTAAAGTAAAAAAGTATGTGGATTCTCATTATGCTGTGTTGTTGCAGAATGCAACCATAGCATAAAGCATAAAGTTGTAGCATCAGCTGCATTAATCTCTTCATATGAGGGAATTGCTGGTTGCTATTGTCAACGTTCTGACTCGCACTCTACCATATACAATAAATGATTTTAAAAAATCCAACGTCACTTGTATGGGCAACTCGCTGCAGTAATATTTACTTTTAATTATTTTAAACCTCAACCCATTATATAATATAATTACCTGAACGCCTGTACTTTATTCGTTGTAAGCCTCACGATAGTTAAATTTGACGGTTCCTATACAGTGCGACAAAATGTGTATATCATCTGTAATTAGGAATACAGTAATATCTCTGTTAGCTGGAATCCCTCAAACACGGAACTCTCTCATAGCAGGAATTGAAATTTTCTCTTAAAATCATTCTCAAAGCCAGAATTGTTGGGAAAATTACGGCTTTGGGAACAATTTTCCATGGGGCACATTTTCTGGAAAATTAAAAGAAATTTTTCCCATTGCCCAGAAAATTCTAGAGAAGAGGGATTTTTTTCTGGGGTTGAGAGTTGAAAATTAGGCATATTTTCCAGAAATTCAGAGAAAATTTTTCTGGTACCCGGAAAATTCCAGGGATGGGGGATACTTTCCAGGTGTGAGAGATGATATAAAACGCAATTTTTGGAATTTCCATGAACATTTTTCCGTTACCTTGGGGATGAGGGATTTTTTACGGCTTTGAGAGATGAAATAATGCATCACTCTCGAATTTCCAAGAACATTTTTCCGTTACCCAGAAAATTCTGGGGATGAGGGATTTTTTTCCGGCCTAGAGATAGTCGTCTCGTTACCCGGAAATCTCTCATTCCTGGAAATGCTCTGCACCAATTGTTCCGGCTAACGGAGATATCACTGTAGTACCTTACATCAGTACAATAACGGCACTGTTCAACAAATAGAAGAAAGGACTTAGAATATGGCCCTGATCAAGAGACATTTTTAACACATTTTTTGTAAATAAGAATAAGAATACACCAACACAATTATCTCAGCCCGGTAAATTTTTGGGGGTATACAGAGAGTGATAGAATAAGGGAGCAGAGATGCACTAACCGTGAGGATCGACAGTGGAGGGATCGGGAACACAGCGTGGGTAGTCAAGTGTTTGAGCGTAGTGGCGACGCACCTCTCCAGTCCTGTGACAGGACCAGCATGGTGCACTTCTGTTATCCCAGTCCATTGTCAGTGTTCCTTCACCAGATACTCTTTGAATTTTTTGTTCCAACACAACACTTTCCTTTCTATTTTAAAATTTATTCTATAAATAGTAGGACTTTTGACTCAAGAATTCTGGCACTGCAAAATTTTTTTTTTAATTTGGTTTGAATATGACTTGTAGCTTGTAAGGATTTTTTACTGAAGGAGTCTCTGAAAAAAATAAAATAAAATAATTTACTCTAAAATGTCTTCATTGCACTTTGGTTAAATTGAATTCATTTGTATGTTGACCTTTTATTCTTGTACTGTATTCAAGCAGATGAATAATATATACTGCATTCGGTACATGGCAAATTAAAGTACATAAGATGGTCCAGCATTGATTGTTTTTGGAGTTGCTGGCACTTTGACTTTCGGCCAGTCCAGTGCTGCTTTGACAGAATGTTTCCTACATAATATGCCAAACCAATGTCAAAGAAAGTGCTTATGGAAATTGTAGATGAAACCACCATAAAAATTATAAGTTTGTTTCACCCATATTACCAGTCATTTGCATTTCTCATCATCACGATGTAAATACTATCAATGCAATGGTATAAAACAATTATAAGAGAGGTATTCATAGTCACCTCCAACAACATCGAATGAGTGAGGTTTACAAGCAGGAGCCAGGCATACGAACATGTAAGTCACATATTTTCCTTTACCAAATGAACGGCTCTCCAAGTATTGCAGCTCCTTCCCAACTTATGACCTACTCGACTTACAACCTGCCTCAGTCGTACCAAAATTTTGTCAAATTACGTATTTTCGAGTCCCAACTTCAGTACACAGACAAAATTTTCATTTGTAATTCACTTTAAAATGGCTGGCAAGCTTAATTGTCAGGGCCGGATTCAGGAGTGGGCAAAGTGGGCAGCTGCCCAGGGGCCTCCACAATCTGGGGGCCTCCACATATTACAATATTTTATTTATTTGTTTATTCATTTGGATTATTTTTATTTTCATTCTTTAAAATTCATGTTTATCTATTCCATTACGTAAAACTATGTTCAGCAAGAAGCGTGATAGATATTAGGCTAGCTACTCCTTGAAATTCATAAATACCTGGTTTTCCTATGAACTGTATATTTTTAATATAACTGCATATGGCTTCAAAATTCTCCAAAGAAGTGTTCAAATTTCAAAATTTTCCCGGGGGGCTTACAGCGCCCCCCAGAACTCCCAGATGTTTAGATTCACTTCACTCGCCACCCCACCCTCTTGGGTAGTTATAATGAGGGGGGCCTCCCCAAAGAGGCTGCCCGTGGGCCTCCACAGGTCTAAATCCGGCACTGTTAATTGTGAGAGTTTTGTGGTGCTGAGAAGAAAAAGAGACACCCATTTTAGATTTTCTATGTATTATTTGAGCATTTTCGACTTACGACCTGGATTTGGGTCCCTAACCCCGTCGTAAGTCGGGGAGGAGCTGTATTTTGTTACCTATAAGGATTAATTTGTTTCATGGCCACTTTAGGGTTTGTTATACTATTCACCTTTTTCTTGTAAATTACCATTTTATTGTTTTTATGAAGTGCAGTCATGTTGACACTCCTGTTAACTGTGAACAGAAATCTCACATCGTCAGCGACAAGTTGACCCCCTCGTAGCCTCAAAGCATAGGGTAATGCTCCTTAACTTAATTAAGAAGCAAATAGACATCTCTAACCCTTTAGAGGGCAGGGGTTCCCCTCAGCTGAATATAATCATCTGGCATCAGCCAAAATAAAATACCTATGGGATACTTTCCCCTCTAAAGGGTTAATTGAGATAGGTTCTAAAGATAGAATGACAGGTTTTGCAGTCAGTAATCGGAAGAGGAAGGATTTGGCTGAAATTACATCCAAGTTCAATGCCATTACCTCTCCCTCCCTTCAAATTAACCTTTTAAAGAGAAATGTTACTCGACTTGGGATTGTGCCCCAAAAGTCTACAAGGCAATGGGCAAATCATACAAATAAATTTAGATTTTTTTTTAATTAAATGATTTCCAGCAGTAAATAAGCATTTTCAGGCTCAAACTTCATGTCAAAGTAAATTTTTGCTACTACATTTTTTCCAAGTAAGATGTGTAGAATTATATTATGATTCAACCAACCCCACCCATAAAAAAAAAATATCTTAAGACAAATCGAATACTGTACAGTATTTACTTACAATAAAACACATACAGTATAGCCACACTTTGATGACAATACAATAATATAATAAAAAAGAGTAACCTTTCTGTACTTGACAGGTTTTCAAAATAAAAATAAATATATGTAGAACAACAAGAAAGAAAATGGTACCTGTACAATTAATTGGTTTAAAATGGTTTTAAGCATGATATATAGGACAAGGGTGAAACTCTTTACAGCATGAATTATATTGACATTGAGTTGGTGTGAGTAGGCCAGATGGCTGAGTTACATTTTCTTTAAATACTGTAGAGCCAAACATTTTTCATGACAAAATAGATCATACAGTATTTTTACTCGCTGCTACAATACCATAAAATATCCACTGCCAATTTTTTTCTGTACAGTATCAAGTAATAAATTATATACCTGCACTCTATACTCCAGAAAAATCCCTCAATTTCGGGTCTGTGAATGAGTTTCCAAAGATGAAAATCAGACACATTTTCTGAGAAAATTCCAGAAAATCTCCCCCAAAAATATTTTTCCGTGTCTGGGAACAAATTCTGAGGCTGAATTTGCTAACAAAGAATTAAAAAAAAAGGTTGTTAATATTCATTTACACAGGAAATGTATAATAGTATATACAGTGACCCCTCGTTTAACGAACACCTCGGTTAACGTAATTTCGATCAACGAACTGCCTTCCATAAGGATCTTCAATTCGGTTAACGAAAAAAAATTCGGTTAACGAAGTTCTTACGAACCGACCTCAACATGTTTTCGCTTGCACTGACCGGGCAACCAGCTTTAGTATCAGTCCGCCAATACATTAATCGGTTCTAGGGCTTAAATTCCTTACTATTTTAGTAAATATCAAGAAGTTTATACTCAATAATTTTAAAAGTTTAATAATCAATTTTTTAGTCATTTTAACAATTATTGAACATAATTGAAGGTAAAGTGTCTAGTTTAATGCGCGGCATCCAGCCTCTTAACACAGCAAACAGGAGTTAGTCTCTCTCTGTTTTCACTGGAGGTAACATCTTGCTTGAGACTCTCTTCAACTAAACGCTTTTTTTCTGTTTCCAAGCAAATTATTGGTCATTTTGAAATATATTTTACATATTGACAATATATAATGCAGTGCAGTGTTGATTTAAAAAAAATAATCTTGAATTACACCAAGAGAGCTAAAATTTTATGGGTGAAATGGCGCCATGGGGTGACTTCTCTTCCAACCTAATGCCTTCTCTTCTTCCTTCTCCTCCACTCCCATTCTAAATCCCATCATCATCATCATCATCCAGGAGCCTTCTACATACACACCTCAAAGTAAGTGAACTTTTCTACCATTTTTGTTGAATTTAGGAAATTTTCGGTGAGCTGGAACCAATTACCCAAAAACCCATTGAAACAATGGTTTCGGTTAACGAACTTTTCGGTTAACGAACGACCTTCTGGAACGGATTGAGTTCGTTAACGGAGGGGTCACTGTACAGCGCTGTATATCTAAAATCAGCATACAAAGTTCAGTGAATTCTTAAAGCAAGTACGTAGGTCCTACCAGCATTTTCTAAGTAAAGTACAGTACGTATGTTATATCAGGCTGCAGACTTCTAATGTAGGTAATACTTCACAAACTGGCTACATATTGTTCTGGACTACAGTGTAATATATTTTTACTGAAACTAGCTTAGTTGCTTTACTCTTAAGTAAAACTAAAAATGTGGTACAAAAAGTGCCACAAAATATCTTTATAATAAAACTGTAGCATTAATCTCTTCAAATAAGTGACAAATGGTCATCATCATCGATGTTCAGACTCTCGCTCTACTGCCATATCTACATTACTGTATAATGACTCTAAAATTCCTAAGTAGCAGCGTGTGTGGGCAAACAGCTGTGGTAACTATTACTCACACAGTGCAGTAATTGCTTTTAAAAACAATGTTGTATACATTATCTCTTGCTTAAACCTAAACTCATCGTATAATACAACATAGTGGATATAGGTATGGCAGCCGTATTGATGGACTGTTTTGTTAATGGTTAGGTTAGGATAGGATATTCAGAAATGCCACCTTAGCAACTATCATTGTATAGTCTGCCAACCACATATGCACATTAGGCCGGTCCGACTAATTACCTAAATGTAGCCGGAATGAAGTCAAATAATGGCCCTAGATGAATAAATCGGACTGCTAATCATTTCTCGACTAGTATTTGGTGTCAGAAAGTCACAAAAAATTGGAAAACTTACTTTAATCTGAGTTAATAGATCGCGTGCATGTACCGACGGAGCGAGGAATTACCCAAATGTACCCAAATGTAGCCGCAATGAAGTCAAATGATGGTCGTACAAGTGTAATTCGGGCTGTGAATCACTTCTCGATTATTATTTGGTGTCATAAAGTAAAAAAAAATTGGTAAACTTAATTTTATCTGAGTTGTGTTGTGTTAGGTTAGGTTAGGTACATGCACTTGATCTATTAACTCAGATTAAATTAAGTTTACCAATTTTTTGAGACTTCATGACACCAAATACTAGTCGAGGTTAGGTTAGGTTAGGTTAGGTACATGCACTCGATCTATTAACTCAGATTAAATTAAGTTTACCAATTTTTTGTGATTTTGTGACACCAAATACTAGTCGAGAAGTAATTGGCAGTCCGATTTATTCATCTAGGACCATTATTTGACTTCATTGCAACTACATTTGGGTACATTTGGGTAATTCCTCGCTCCGTCGGTACATGCACGCGATCTATTAACTCAGATTAAAGTAAGTTTTCCAATTTTCTGTGACTTTCTGACACCATATACTAGTCGAGAAGTGATTGGCAGTCCGATTTATTCATCTAGGACCATTATTTGACTTCATTCTGGCTATATTTGGGTACATTTGGGTACATTTGGGTAATTAGTCAGACCCCATTAGGCTGCTGTACCAATAGACATCGACGTTTCACATACGGCTGTCATACCTGTATTCTGTGTCATAATATAATTAACTGGATTCATCGAAAGCCAGCCATCAACAGTTCCAAAACTTTGGAATGCAATGTGCATATCATCTGTAATTAGGAATACATTACATCAGTACAATGACGAGACTGTTCAACAAGTAGAGGAAAGGCCTAAGAATATGGCCCTTTGGTGGATGATGAGAAAATGTGTTTGAACTCCCCTTAATTTGCACTTGACTGCATGGTCCACTACAATACTAGGATTTGCAGACTCCAGTTTATAAATAGTTAATTATAAAAATCTGTCAGTACTTAAGTGATAATTTTAAACTTCCTTTCTAAGGTGGTAAAAATCGCATAAAACAGACAATCGTCCAAGTAGGATGACACCTCATACTACTGGCAGTTAACAACAATCAAGGTAACTGAGATCTTGCTAACATCCCGGAACGTTAGAACAGCTGCAGTTTCAGTAAGGATTTAGCCAAGTTTCACCAATGACCGTAAATCTCAATGTAACTATGTTTCTCTTGCACTAATATTAGGTCTTTTGGGAGGAGCTATTCAGATGTGATCTAGCTATTGAGTTTAGATATATCAGTTAAATTCGTGTTTCTGCATGGCATATCTTGAACTTGAAGCAGTTAATTCAGTAATGGTGGATATCATATAATCACAGGCGTTACAGAAAGCCAACCAGAGTTTACAATCCATCGACACATTGATCTGGACGAAACTCAATAATATTAACGTCTCTCTCTATTGTAGATTAATTTTCTTTGTGCTTCCAGTTTTTATAAGTCAACTTATAGTCCCATAATGTTATTGGAAAGTAAGTCAAAGTATGTGTACTACATATCGAGTAAACCTTCCTCTGGTTGACAATCTACGGTATCGTTCACGTAAACACTGTACGTCGCTTCAATACTGTTCCTGAATATTATTCTATTCGCTTATAGAAAACGTGACATCCTGTATGACAAACTATGTTGTTCTCTTAATTATTTTCATACAGTAGTATAATTTTACCTTTTTACTTTTATTCTCTTCACCACTGATCGGCTCGCTAGCCGCCCGGGCGGTCGGTCACGTCTCTGTTACGCACTGTTGGCAAGTACTGGGCATGCACCGGCTCCTGAATGTACCTGAACCCGCTCAGTGTTGGTCAAATCTGGTCTTGAAAGAGCTCACACTTGGTGCCGTTACAACACTCTCTGGCAGATTGTTCCATGAGTTCACAACTCTCTCTCCGAAAAAGTTACCCCTCACAGTTTTCTGGGCTTGTGGCTTCTTCAACCTTGAGCTGTGACCTCTTGTGGGGAGAGCGTCCGCCAGCTCCAAGTAAGGACATTCATCTGAGTAGTGCCCCTTGAGATGCTTATGTAACGACCACGGTCATACACGTCAGTTAACGCCAAAATCAAATGTTTCATATTACGCTCAATAGCCCACAAAACACGTACCTCTGCTTTGTTTTGAGTCCTCCATCTGAGGAGTCCGTTTTCTCATCACTTCAAGACGCCTCAGTCCTCCGTTATCCCATTTTCTCTGACTTACTGAAACCAACCTCTCTATAAAATGAATTTGAATGTGAGAGAGAATACCCTTGTTTTGAGTCAACTTAGATATGTCTGTTTACAGTTGGAACATTCAAGATCCATTGTGAGTGGTGTTGAACGCTTCAACTGTCCTTATTGTTAGTAAGACGTGTCAAGTAAGCGAGTGTTGAGTTTGCCAGTTAGAGTGGTGTATTTTATGTCGTCCGTGGGGATACCCATGAGTTCTGATCGCTACTGAAGTTATATTATTTTGTCGCCCCGACATCAGAGAATCTGATGTTTATAGTTTAGTTAGTGTCAGTTGTCTATTTAAGAAAGTCATTAATCTTCTGAACAGTTCCTGTCAAACTCAAAATTCTCCAAGACTTAACGGCCGTTTGACCGGGGATGTGGTTTGCGGTCAGGCCAATAGAGTTGCGAACGCATATATAACTTCAATTCACCTCTTTACTGACAAACTCAATATCTTTTTCGTAACATTTTTGTTGCCATAATAAGGGCTTGAGTGTTTGTATTGGTCTCAGTTTGGAAGAGACGCATCTTTTGTCTTCTTACACATTATAAAGTATTTCTTACCAAAATAGAAGGTTTGTATTGTTCACACTTAGGGTAAAAATATGTTTTATGACTGAGTAAACTTGCAGATAGAACTTATTAATGTTGTATAGCCGTAAATATCCCTCAGTAATGAAAGCCAAATATGAGGTCAAGTGAACATTCCTGCCAAGACTTCGCCTTGTTTTTCTAATATTCAACCAATAGCCTTAGCCTATTTTCTTGTGTATATGGCTTATGATAACATGAAAGGCTATAAATTTCCATAGGCTAGCCAAAATTAAATGATATTAGGTGTAAAATATGGATTGCAATTAACTTGATTAATAGGGGCCTATATAACTGCTTTTTCAGTCTTAGGCAAATAAATGTTTAAACGTAGGGCCTACTTAATTTAGTTAGAACATGTGGATTATTTAAATAAAAAATTATACCAATAGGTTATAGGTTAGATAGGTTTGGTTTGGTTATGTTATGGTATGTTAGAGAATGTGTGCATGGTTTTTTGGTGAGGATCAGGCTGTCAGTGAGACACTTTGTCTAGCAGCTACCTTAGGCCTAGTTCCAGACTTTTCATGAACAGTATTAAATTACGGCTAATCCGATATATTTTCATGTTTTAAATTGTTTTTTGTATGAACTTGAAGACGAATTCAGACCAAATGACCCAAACATTGAAAGGAAAACACCATGTTCTAGGCTAAATGAGTAATTTAAGAGAAGTGATTTGTCATTTAGGTTAGGCAAGACTATACTATCATTAACCAATTAATTTGAAGTTGCCCAGAATAAGGCTATCTTATTATAGCTTATGTGTCTTGTCACAGGCCAACATTAGGCTCGTGGTTATTTACCCAAATTCTATTATGGGTAAAACACCAAATACTGTTAGATTGCAGGGTTACGTGATGTTGTCTCACACTCAGGATGGGTTGGAGATAGGAAACTCTTAATGGTGGTTTCTTATATAAAATATATTATATACAAAACAGTCTGGTGCTGGGAAGTTGCTGCATGGTAGAGTAACCACTACAAGATCTCTGTTAGCCGGAACAATTGGTGAAGAGCACTTCCGTGAATGAGAGTTTTCCCGTTAACGAGACGATTATCTCAAATCAAGAAAATATCCCTCGTCCCCCGAATGTTTATGGTAATGGAAGAATGTTCTCGGTAGTTCCTGAAATTGCCCATTACATCATCTCTCGAACCTAGAAATATATCCCCCATCTCCAGAATTTTCTCGGAACCTTTTCTCATAATTTTCAGGAAAATGCGCCCTTTTGAAAATCATTACGTAAGCTATAAGTTTCCTGCAAAATCATGCTTTGGGAATTAATCACGGTTTTCAGAAAGTTCCGGGTTTCAGGGATTCCGGCTAACGGAGATATTTACTACCTAATAAAATGAACACAGGTCAAAAGACTCTCCGGCTCCTGAGAATGCTGCTGTTCCTACCAGAAAACAGTTTCAAATGCGAGTATGTGACAGACAAGAGGCAAGAGGATATCTTTTAAACGCTTTTAACACTCTTGTTTACTTTCATACTGAACAATTTTATTCATTTTTCAATGAGTACAGAGATTTTAACACGCTGTGCATTTTTAAGTATTTTAACCCTAATGCCAGGCAAAACCTTAAGGCCGTAATTTTTTTTTCTCATGCATAACCCTTCTATTCTAGGCCTAATGATAAAACTTTGAATAAGTTAGTATCAACATAAAAACACTACTGTTTAATAAGTATTTTTTATTGCAGTATAGAGGTAATGCTAATAAAGCATACATTGAATTAACTTTTATTTTCAATATACTGTACCTAATAAAATAAACTTCTTTATAGAAAATACAGAAAATAAATGGCTTTCTTTTACCTTCATAAGATAAACATTTTATATAGGAAAATAAAATATGTACTATATCCTTGAGCAAATTTGATTCCAATACAGTATACTTTTAATACTACTAAATACCAAAGGCACTAAAGTTTGTGAAAACAAAAATCATATAAAACATATTTGAGAAATTGAAACAATAAAAAAATATTGCCACTGTTTGCTTCTTAAACTACACAATTTGACGTGGGTCACCACATCGTTGTGAAAAATTAATACAACTACTGTTAATTGTTGCCATTTTTAAGATTTAAAAATGGAATACAGTATAATTTTCATATGTCTAGAATTACTGAAGGAACTCTCATGACTAGAATGTACCTGCATCAATACCCGTATATTAAAGTAAACTTATAACCAAATACTGTACTACTATAAGTAATAAAGAAAACAAATAGCAAACTTGGCTTGTTAAGCTATACAATTTAGCATGAGACAGCACATCCTTATGAAAGAACCAATGCAACAACTTGCTCTTTGGAGAATAATGTGTGCTAAATAGCAGTGATTACAGTAGGCTGTTAGGTGAATTTGCACCATTATTTCTGTTTCAACCTACTTGAATCATACATTAAAAAAATACAAATTAATCAATAAAACAGGTTGAACTGGAAATTAACTACGTATTACAAAATAAAGGAACCTTTAAAAAATAAAAATAAGTACATGAGTCTGTTTTCAAAGCTATACATTTGATTGTGGTTTGAACTTTTACCCAAAACCTGGGTAAACATTATCCGTAGTAGCACTGCAACACATGTTATTAGTTAACAAGTGTGTATATCCTCAGTCAGCAAGATAGTTAGAGAATCCTCTTTTTCTTTAACGGTCCTAAACATAGATTCCTCGCTGGAATCAATAGCCGTAAACCTAGCTCCTGAGGGTCCTGGGGTTTGTGCTCTTTCTTCTTCTGGAAGGAAATGTATAATAGTTTGATTGATGTCTCTGTTAAGGGTATAATATAAATATATAAAAGTTTTTAGAACAAAAAATGGTCTGAAAAATAGTGTTGACCATCTAAAAATATTTGTATAAAATATTTCTAAATGTAAATATAGACTAATTTAACATGGTTACAATATTATAAATTGATTTAATTATAATATACGGCATTTAGTTCCAGGCGTTAAATTTCTTATATTTGCACTTCTCAATTTTTTCCATTAACATACGAGTTATAACAACATTTAATATCTAACTTAGGGAAGCAATATGCAAGCTATAAATTTAACTAACTTACTAATGTTGCTTTTTTTTAAGAATATACAAAAAATAAGTATACTGTATTTCAAAAGTAAGATAATAGTGAAAAAATAGTACCAAAATTATTTTAGGATTTAAAAACAAGGACAGAAAAGAACAAAATTTATCAGAGGGTTGGAAAAGTATGTTGAGTGAATTACCGTCAATAAGTTCCTCACTTTCCAAAATCGCTGGAATCCCATGTATAAAAGCTGGATCTAAGAGTTGAAGAACTGCTTCGTCAATTGCAGTGTATGTACAGGGTAATTTCAATTTGGGGGCCGCCTCCTTCAAGAGAAAAAACAATAAAAACTTTCTTACTGTGAGCTGTGGTTACATACACTGTACACAACTATGTTATATATACACTACTATGATAGAAAGGAATTTATTGAAATAGTTCCAAACATTATAACCTAACCTATCATTGTAGCTGTAGCCACAAAAATTATCCTTTATCTATGTCAAAAGTTATTTAGATTTAAGGTAACAAACAATAAATGGTAAAATAAGTAAAAAAAAATAGTCGCAGCCAGAAATTTTCAACCTGTATTAGTTGTAAACTCATAAGATAGAACATCCTTGCCTATAAGCCTAACAAGGTAAAATTTACATATTAATGTATACCAAATATGAATATAAATCTATTGATGAATGAAAATTAACTACATAAAAAAAAGGAATTCTATGGTAACTTACACATTATGACCTTTATTACCGTCGGAAATAAAGTAATTATTAATATGTAGTTTATAACAGTAACCAAACCTACCTAACCTAACTTCCTTACCAACGGGAGGCCTCCGCCGCCCTGCCACACAAACTCATATTAACTATCTCTGTTCCACGTCAGTTGCGACACAATGACAAATGTGTCTTAAAATTGTGTAAACTATATGATAGGTATAATAAGAAAATCCAAAAGTTGTGGGGAAATTATTAACAGTAGTACAGACTTCCCTGACTACCGGGTGGGAAGATATTGGAAGCATAATGTGTTGTCTAATGGTAGACCCTGCTGCCATATGGCATCACGAAAATTAGGAGCAAGTCCAAGGTTGCTGATCTGACTAAATGTGTCATTTACACACAATTGCAGGGTGGCAATTGTTTCTCGTAATATCGACAACACAACATACATAATGTATATCGATTCTCACTTTTTATGTGTTTTCATTTCGGTATTTATGGTCATTTATTATTAATATTATTATTAATAAAGAGTTATTATTATTAATAGTACTAAAGAATTATTATTACAGGCCCCGACGTGGGTCAGTGACTGTGCCTGGGTTGGTTAATCCACGTAAAAAAAAAAAAAATTTAGGTTGAACGGTAAAGTTTTTACTATTTACTCACACGGCAAACTTCGAAGAACGATGTTTCTTTTAATGAATGTGCTCATATAAGGAAAATATGTGTATTCATTCACGATGAAGAGCCACCACACTACTTCCTTGAGTTTACAAACACGTAAAATCGTACCAAGCCTCAGAAAAACCATAGTTAAGTTTGTTTCATATTGTCAATCAATAACCACGCTAACAATATTATGACTTACCTGTTCCACCAGCATATTTCTTATCTTGTGCTGCTTTTTTCTTAACGCTAACACGAAGATCAGCTGAAAACCGCCGAATTTCAGTAACATTGCGGGTGACTCTACCAACAGCATTCACCGCATTTAACACTTCACCCCAGGCATGGTTTTTGAGTTGAAGTGTACATCTACTTGAGTCCAACTTCCCTAAAATCATTTCTTTTCTTTTGGCCACCTCAGTCACAATACTGAAATTAGGTCGTCTCATCTTGGCTGGTGGTCCTTCCATGTTTACAAAATAATATTACGTGCGTCGCTCTCAGCTGATTTCTCCTTCTCTTGTGATTGGTTGAAGATTTTGTTAACTGAGCGTTGATTGGCCAACTAGCATCTGCACTGACATCTACCGTCCGACAAAAGAACTTAATTTACAGGGTAAACACTAGAGTTATGAGAACTTACGAAAGGCTTACGGAACCATAATTAAATTTTGAGTATGCTAAATTTACGGTAGTGTAAGGATTCGACAATATATGGTACTGTATCATGCTGAAAACGTAACTTATGAGGTGTTTTGAGTATCCGGCCCTGTTATTTAGGACATAACACCCAATATCCTTCAAATCGAATTAATGACAAAGATACCAAGCAGTTATTTTACTTTCATTTATTTATTTTTTTAATATGGCAACTATTTTTAAAGATGGCCACCATTTTTTAATATGTTGGCTAATTTCAAGATGGCTACCATTATTCAAGATGTTGGCCATTTTCGAAGACGGCTGCTATTTTTCAAGGTGGTGATCATCTTGAAAAATATTTTTCTGTGGACCTACTTATACTTTTATAAAGTTATAAAAACAATAAAAAGTGTTCAACGTCATTTTACTTCATTGTGTCTATTTTTTGTAAGGTTTTTATATGAAATGTTTCAAAGGTAGCTTACATCTTCCTCTACAAACTAAAGATACAGTACAGTAGTAGTTATTGCAGCCTCTTGGTAAAAATCTTTTAAGAAATTCCTCGGTATTTGTTACATTAAGTTAGGTTAGGAGCTTTGGTAATGGTGAATTTGGACACTTATCTGCTTTTACACTTTAGTTAGGGAAAGTGATAGATAAGTGGTTTACAGCCAAAACTTCCACAATTACCATCATAATGGTTCAAGACAAAAAATTTAATACTGAAATCATGGTTAAATAAATTCCTAACCCAATACAAGTTCTTCAAACCTAATAAAAGGGGGTTTGCAAAAAGTGGTATCCCAATTCTTTTTTTAGATTTTTTTTTCATAGGTTTTTTATTTAATACATTGTCGTGATGGCCTTTTCACCGTAAAATTATTGAAATGTGTCTTAACCTAACCTAACCTTACCTTACCTAAACTTAAATTACCTTACTTAAGCTAACATAAGACTATTGTAGTGTAATTATCTAGATAGACGTCCTCCACACATTTAAAATACTTAATTTCAGTTGTTGAACAGCAACGTTTTTAAATCAGACTATTGTTGGAATGTCAGCGCCTCCACTCAACACAAAAAAGTGCAATGCACACGGCAAACAATTAAGTTCTCGAGAGAAATTTCAATGAAATTTTTTTTTAAATACCACTTGTGGAGATAAAAAAAAATTTATTGTACAATAATTTCTCCAACATATCTACAAATCTGTTCATGATATTTTAACGTAACTCGCCATACCACTATTATACCCTTTAACCTTTGAAAATCTCTGCAAATGTTTTATAAAAAGGTAAAGTAAGGTAACATTAGGTAAGGTAAGGTAAGGTAAATTCAGGTAAGGTAAGGTAAGGTAAATTCAGGTTACGTTAGGTAAGGGAACAGGCCCGGATTATCCATTAGGCACAGTAGGCACAGTGCCTAGGGCCTACGAGATATTGGGGGCCTACGAAAAATAAAACGAGAACTATAGTGAAGCTCGCATATCTAAAGTAACTATCAGTCTATTTCCTGTTTCTCAAAAATTGTAACCTAGCATAAAAGGCGTCTATGTCATTAATGAATCAAAGATAAATCCTACTGCACAAAATCTGAAACAGAGCAATTAATCAGAAACTCTACAAGTAGCCTACGGGACAAAGGTGAAGCTAATCATAGCTATTAGCTAGGTAGTCACAAAAACTCACAACTCTGGGTTTAAAGCCAGAAATCAAAGCTATTCGGGTAAATATACTGTCACAGAGGACTGTAATTCACATTCACTCTCTGGTAGATCACTACCGTCTGCCTATACGATAATATGAGTACTATATTAAATTTCTACAAGAAGAACAAAGACAGTTGTCACCAGTCAGTACCATGTCTATAGTGTCTATAGATATTCATCGCAAACAACTAACAACATTTATAAAAATGCACTAAGTATAAGAGAAAAAAGAAGAAACAATTACCGGTCGCCTCCCAGTGTCCACCAGCTAGCTGTGCTTCTTGTAAACAAAACTATTTCTGTACTGTACAAGAACAGCTGATCTAACCCATTTTCTTTTACTCAATTCATGGCAAACATCACTGAATCTTATTCTTTCGACATCACATTTCATAATTAGGTACTAGCTTGTGTTATTAGTGAATATGCTGTCAAATGGGGCCCCATATCTTGGAGGTGCCTAAGGCCTACGAAAGTCTTAACCCGGCACTGTAAGGGAAGCTATGTAAGGTAAAGTAAGGTTAGGTTAGGTAAATTTAGGTTACATTTCACTTATCTTGCAGCAAAAAAAGAACATCACAAATTCCATCTTCACTAACGAGGCTTGAAGTAAGTCTAGCTGCTGTGTTTTGGTTCGGGTTGTATAGTACAGGGTATAGAAAGTGGCCTTATTTCTGCCTTGCAGAAGCTTACTAGACCAGTCACCATAAGTTAGGAAGGAAAGTAGGCCATTTTAAATCGAGTTGTGGACTTCATAAGTCTTAGTGAATCACCACCACAGGAGATTATGAACTCTTAAGCATTTGCGATGTTCATTAGTAACGATAGTTATGCATTTGCATATTTCATATGCAAATGCATATTTTGCGTGATTTCTATGATAAGTGCATATTACCTAGATAACTGCATATAAATGCATATTTTGGTAAAATATTCATCTGGCAGTATCTCTTTGTTGCCACTGAATGAGCACACGTGGTACTGGGAGGTGAGGTGAGGTCACGTCGCTTTAATCTGTCGTTTCCACACCTGGTCATGACTCATTGGACTAGTGAGTTAGTCAGTCAGGAGCAGTGCTGCTGTGTGGAGCTACTCTCTTCTGTTGCTCGTGAAAATGCCGAAAGTACAAAGAAACCAAAATGAAGTGCTGAGATCATATGTAAAGGAATTTGATGCATTTACTACTGATGGAAGTGTACTGTTTTGTAAATATTGTGAAGCACCAGTGACAGCGAGCAAGAAATTTCAAGTCCAACAACACCTTAAAACAAGCAAGCACATCCGATTCGAAGCTAAGTCCAATAGTGCACAAAAGGAGCAACAACTACTTCTTGCATGTTCCAGTAAGTCAGGGCCTGATCGTTCCCAGTTCAACGCAGATTTGTGCAAGGCATTTGTTTCAGCGGATATTCCATTGCATAAACTGAATAACAAGTGCCTAAAGTCATTCCTGGAACAGTATACTGGAAAAAAGGTGCCTGACGAATCAACATTACGTAAGAACTATTTTGTTTCCGTATAACCTGCATTCTTGGCTTTTTAGTGCATATAAATGCATATTTCCCCTGTTTTAGTGCATATTTGCATGCATATTTCATGGTTTTTTAGTGCATAACTATCCTTGAGTGAATCTGGGCCCAGCTATTATTCAACTGCTGTGGAAATAACTCATTAAAATTACATCTTCCCGAACTGGCAAGTGTAGCTGTGTAGAGTTGTGAACTATAGAATGACAGTACAGTACAGTACACTGTACAAGTAATACAATATTGGTAAAATTTCACCTGTTACTATGTCCAGAATTTTGAGAATTTTATGGCTGCAATCAATAGTTTAAACAATTCTAATACACTTTTCTTTTATAATGTTTTCATCACAAATGATCTAACCTAACTTTACTTTTTACATTTACTTTGGGGGGGTCCCCCCCATAGACACCTAGCATATTTTGGGGGGTCCCCCCCCATGGACACCTAGCATATTATAGGTCCTTTACAAGGGAAACTTCATAAAAGAAAAGCGTCTTAGATTTGTCTAAACTATTGATTGCAACCATACTTTTATCCTCTTCGCCACTGATTGGCTCATTACCTGCGTGGGCATTCGGCCACATCTGTTACGCACTATGGGCAAGTACTGGGCATGCACTGGCTCCAGTGTTGGTCAAGTCTGGTCTTGAAAGAGCTCACACTCAGTGCCGTCACAACACTCTCTGGCAGATTGTTCCAAGTGTTCATAATTCTCAAAATTCCTTAGGTGGCAACAAATAATAATAATGGTCTTTCCTTACACAAATCTTCATCATAGGTACCTTTAATGTATTGTATGCCTATGGAATCACCTAAAGATTAGTCCCAGCTTATTTCACCTGAAGATTAACCACCTTAACATTAACTTAACCCAGCACAATTTAATTTAACCTAATCATAACCTCAGTAAATTATAACCTTACCTAACCTAATTAAACACAACCTAACCAAACATAATTAGACCTAACCCAACCTAACTAAACCAAACCTTACATACGTACTTTTCCACAGGTACACAAAGGATGGCCAAAAGACAATTGGAAGTGTGTGTTGATTCTCTAGACTCTGCAATAGCAGCTGTTAATGGGGGAGCTGATCGTCTTGAACTGTGTGCTGCCCTCTCAGAAGGTGGCCTCACACCATCACCTGGTCTTCTATTTGCTGTCAGAAAACATATTAGCAAACTTGTAGATGTGTATGTTATCTTTAAGTTATGATGTAATGTACTGTACATCACTCAGGGGCCACCACCAATGGAATTAAAAACAGCAGATGGGGTTTGTGGGGTGGTTATTAATTAACACCATCAATCTATATAAGCCCTTTATAAAAATCCATATATTGTACATAAAAACCCATTCATCTACTTTATAAATCTAGGACTCATAATACCTGTACACTAATACAATTTACACTAATCAAATTCCAAAGTACTACAGTACATTTTAAAATTACAATATTGAACCCCAATTACTGGTACTACAAATAAAAATAATAATTTCACTGTAGAAAATTATTGTCCTTGCTGGTGTACCCAAACACATCCTTAAGACTTGTGACCTACTGACACTAATTAGTACAGTACAGTAGTGTTTTGAGCTGCTCCTACATCATTGATATGGAGAAGCTTGAGATAGAGGGTCATCAGTGAATTCTTCATATTTAACCCCTTCACAACTGATTGCTACTTTTAATATTTTATTTGGCTAATGCCAAAGCATTTTATTCAGCATTGAGAGATCACTCATACCCAAGGAGTTAACACAAAGAACTCCAACCACTGTGCACCCAGTACAGTAGACTGCAGATTGAATGAGTGCCGTAAGTGTTAATTTACTTTTGGAGATGAGATATAGTGGGTGATAACATTGTTTGGAAGTAAAGGGATGACTAGTAATACTGTATCTCCATTAGCCGGAATCCCTCTTAATCAGAACTCTCCGACAGCCGGAATTGGAATTTTCCGAGGGGCATATTTTCAGAAAAATTCTGATTAAATCTTCCCGGTACCCGGAAAAATCCCGGGGATAGAGGATTTTTATTCCGGGTTTGAGAAATAAAAATCAGGAGCATTTTCCAGAAATTCCGAGAACATTTTTCCGGTAGTACCTGTACTTGGAAAATTCTGGGGATAGCGGATTTTTTTTCTGGCTTTGAGAAATGAAATGCGTAATGCATCATTCTGGGGGATTTCTCTATGGGTTCAAGACGTGATGTAATGCGCAATTTCTGGAGTTTAAGAGAAAATTTTCCAGTTACCCCGTATGCGGAAAATTCCGGGGACGAGGGATTTTTTCCGGCTTTGAGAGAGTCGTCTTGTTACCCTCATTCCCGGAAGTGCTCTGCACCAATTGGTCCGGCTAACAGAGATATCACTATACAGTAAATGACCCATGTGTAGTTAATTTTAATTTACACAATATCTATTTACAAGCTGTTCTCCAGGAACATACCTCAGTCTTAATTGAGGGTTTAATGTAAGTACAAAACTGATGAAATGGGATCACCTAAATAAAGTTATGGATTTTACACGTTTTGGATTAACTTTTGCAATTTATAATCTTGCCTCTGTACGTAAGGTACAATTGCTTTATACCTGTATATGAAAAATTAACATCTTTATCTCAAAACTACATTTCAGGTTTTGCATAGTACGTCCTAGAGCAGGTCCTATGGTATACTCAGAGGGTGAGGCAGAGATTATACTGCATGATGCAGCCACATTAAAGAAAGCTGGAGCAGATGGATTAGTGTTTGGTGCACTGACTGTCAATGGTACAATTGACAGGAAACTTTGTAAAAGTTTTAGAGAGGTAAAAGACATGGATTTCTTATTCACTGTGTTTTGCATTATTATTATTATTATAACAAAGTGTGAACCTTCACTTTTTTGCTCTTTATTCCTATATGTTGAGTACAGTACTACACTATTAGTTTATGTATGTTTATTCAACATATAATTTGTTTTTTAAATATATCTTCTTTCTTCAGGTGGCAAGTGATTTGCCCTGTACATTTCATAGAGCATTTGACCTTCTTCAGGATCCTCTTAGTGAACTTGAGACTGTTATAGAACTGGGGTACCAAAGAATATTAACAAGGTATATACAGTATTAACCTTTTGTTTTCAAATACAGTAATTGTAGTATAAATTAACACCGATGACTACAGGTATTTCAAAGCAAGAACTCTGAACATATTTTACTATTTATGTAAAGAGTATTCCCAGTCACTGGGGACTTTCTGCTCGTCCGTGCATCTGCAGAATTAGAGTTTACTTATCTTTACACAATACTGTACTGTACAAAGCCTAATTATACCTGATACAGTAATTAAAGATGTTGCCAATAAGTATTTGTGTACTGTAATTACAAGTATACAGATTTTATTCTTTCACATTCCAGTAACCAGACATTATTTTAAACTAATACTCATGCACATTAGTTAAGTAGGGACCTTAGAAAAATAAGTTTTCAAACGTTTTTGATATTAAGATAAATAATTTTGTGCCTGTATAATTCTTTTTTTTTCTTAATGCTTCAGTGGAGGAAAAGCAACTGCTTTAGAAGGGTGTGACACATTGGCTCAACTAGTAACAGCAGCAAGAGGACGTATTGTGATCATGGTGGGAGCAGGAGTAAAATCAGATAATGTTGGAAACATCATATCCCTTACAGGGGTTTCTCAGTGCCATGCCTCAGCAAGAGTATGCAGGTAAGGCATATAAATTTGGTTACCAGTATTCATGCTCTACAATATTTTTCAGAGAAATTATCATTGGATTTATCTAATAGGATTCTCTTTAAGAACAGTGAATTAATTCATAAACTGCTCAATGCACATACACCTACATCATATCATCACAACTACTGGTACTCACCTTTCATCATGAGTTATAATTAATACCTCCCCTCTCACCATAATCTATCTCTTTCAGGCCATAGCCACCTTGCATACCTTATAAATCTTTTGCCTTAAATTACAGTACCTCTTTCATCAGTCTTGATATTTTTCAGCTATTTCCTTGTTAACAATACAGGTATCTCCTTTTATCACATTTAACTGCCCTATGTGTTTGAAACTTGATTGGAGAATGACCAGTGTTTATTGTAAATTTTTATTGCACGGTATTTAATTTTTTATAATTTTCTACCTTTTTTTTTCCAATTACTGTACTGTATCTGTGTTCAAAACAATATTTTCAGAGTTTTTGGCTCAGAAGAGACTAATGGCGCCAAAATGGGAAGTGAAAGTGACAACGTTCTTTGGGTAGCGTGTCAAGATGAGGTGCGAGCCTTAAAGAAAGCAATTGGAGAAAACTGACTTCTATGTATAGAGAGATTTTTCAAGATTATTTTCAAGAAAGATGTTAACCTGATTGGTCCATTGAAAATAGAATAGTATAGAAATCTGGTGACAGCAACACACAAAAGGGAACTTCATTGGTCAACTTTGTAAAAACCAACTATTAACTCTTAAGTAACATTTCATTGTAAGTTTTATTGTGCTTACTGATGGAGTAATTTAACAAGATTAAACTTCAGATCACTAGCAAAATTGTTTTTATCTGCAAGCTAACAATTATTCCTAGCTTCAATGAAGTGCAGCGGTTTTAACTATATTAAAGAATGTATTGCAATTGAATCATCTAATGTTCACTTTTCTTTCACAAAGATATGGCTTCTTAGGCTTTGTACAGTATTTCTAATATGTCCCCCCCACTGCCTTTATCAGGGTCAAATGCCTGGAAGATCATTTGGCTCATAACAAAACAGTTAAATCACACTTTATGGTGTGGGCTTTTTGTAGTGTAAACACTCACTTTGGCCTGAGTCATATGGGCTAAACTGGCTTTCTGGGTAAAAATAACAATGATTTGAATGCAAAAAAGTGTTAAAACTTCAAAATTGTTTATGAGTATTCTTACTACACTTTGGTATGAATATTATTTTTCAGTAAATAAAATTAAAGTACTGTACTTTTATATTAAACCCATGAACTGTATGGTTTTACTTGATTGTAATAATAAAGAAATGCTAAATATGCTATAAGAAATTTGAAAACAATAGTTTTTTCAGATACGACCAGATAAGATAAGATAAGAACGATTAAGATAAGAACAATAAGATAAGAAAGATAAGATAAAAAAGATAAGAACCATAAGATTACACAAGAAAGATAAGAAAGATAAGAACGATACGATAAGAAAGATAAGACTTTTTTTTTAATTTTTTTTAATAAAAAAAAATAGAAATTATTTTTTTTTAATTTTGTTTTTTACATTTTTATATATATATATATTTTTTTAATTTATTTTTTTATTTTTTTTATTTTTATTTTTTTATTGATTTTTTTATGTATTATTTTTATATTTTTTTTTAATTTGTTTTATATTTTTTATCTATTTTTTTATAAATTTTTTTTTTTATTTGATTTTTTAATTTTTTTTATATATATACTGTATATATTTTTTTTTTTTTTTTAATTATATATTTTTTTTAATTTTTTTTTTTAAATTTTTTTATTTATTTTTTAATTGTTTTTTATTTTTTATTTTATGTATTTATTTATTTATTATTTTTTTTATTTTTTTTTTTTTATTTTTTTTTATTTTTTTTTTTACCGTATCTTAGCAACGAAACTATTCACCGGCGACTTCTCGGGTTTTCCCAACATGACTCATGGCGGCTGCTGCTGGGTATATAAGCTCTGTCTCTCCATTGAGATTCATTCTGACCATTCTTCTTGAACTAGCAACACCACCTCCTCTGCCGCTGCCTGGCGACCCTCGCCTCTTCTCCGCCTGCCTGGCGGATCTCGCTCCCGCCGGCGAGCATGGCGACCCACCAGCTGTCCTCTGAGCTTCCTCACCAACCAACTCTCATTCTGCCCATTTTCCTGAACAAGCAACACCTCCTCCCAGCAAGCTCCTAGCTGTCCAGCACTCATTCAACCAGGAGGCCAGCAACAGGCAACATCTTCCCTAACGAAGCTCCTGCACATCTACCTCCTTCAACAAGCTACTCACCGAACGTCTCTATTGACCAGCTCCTCACCACACGGCACCTCCAGCACCAGACTGTCTATCATATAACTTATATTATACAAGAAAACCACATTAGAGTTTCCTTCCATCCTGAGTGCTAGACAACATTTATATCTCGATATACCTACAATGGTGACTCTCGGAGATTAGCACTCACACAGGATGAAGGAGACACTGATCACGCTCCCAGTCTTCAAGCAGACACCGGCTCCTCTTCCTGCCCCACGCACCACATTCTGACGATCCCAGCACGACCCTTACAGCTGGACTGATGCGCTTCCCTTAGTGCTCCTCGGCATCCGTGCGTCACACAAGGAGGATATGGACTGTACCCCAGCAGGCGCATCTGACGACTCAGTACCTGCCGTGAGGGAAGCACACAACATCCATCGCCTCCACACCCCCTCTTTTCTCCCTCAGGTACTCCCTGCTAATGTCCTGCACCCTGCTGCTGTCGTGGACCCAGCTGCTGTCACGAGCCCTAATCCGCTTCTGCTGACGCAGCCCCTGCTCCTGACCCAGGCCCACACACACCCCAGCAGGCGCATCTGACGACCCTGTACCTGTCGTGAGGGAAGCACAACATTCATCGCCTCCACACACCCTTTTTCTCCCTTCTCCCACAGATAGTGTGTATCTAGACAGTTGTATTTCAGCGATCGGCTCATCACGCCATCGCCGTTGTCTCACATGAGGCATGCACCGCCCGGTCTGCCTCACATGTGCTAAGCAACTCTACAAACAACAAGTCTCCTACACCGCCTGGAGGGAAGGGGGAGTATTGTAGTGGACGTCTCCCCTACAAACTGCGTATCGCATTCCAATGTGCCGCCTTCCCTAGCAACCAACCAGATGTTACCGTATCTTAGCAACGAAACTATTCACCGGCGACTTCTCGGGTTTTCCCAACATGACTCATGGCGGCTGCTGCGGGGTATGTAAGCTCTGTCTCCATTGAGATTCATTCTGACCATTCTTCTTGAACTAGCAACACCTCCTCCTCCGCCGCTGCCTGGCTGCCTTAGCTCCTCCTCGCCTGCCTGGCGGTCCTCGCTCCCGCAGGCGAGCATAGCGACCCACCAGCTGTCCTTCCCTGAGCTTCCTCACCAACCAACTCTCATTCTGCCCATTTTCCTGAACAAGCAACATCTCCTCCAGCAAGCTCCACGCTGTTAACATTTCATTCAACCAGGAGGCCAGCAACAGGCAACACCTTCTCTAACGAAGCTCCTGCACATCTACCTCCTTCAACACGCTACTCACCGAACGTCTTCTACTGAGCTGCTCCCCACCACACGGCATCTCCAGCACCAGACTGTCTATCATATAACTTATATATATTATATAAGAAAACCACATTAGAGTTTCCTTCCATCCTGAGTGCTAGACAACATTAATATCTCGATACCCCTACAGTAGGCAGCTATCAAATAGGGAGGTACTACCGCCTGGGAAGATATTGGAAGCATAATGTGTTGTCTAATGGTAGACCCTGCTGCCATATGGCATCACGAATATTGTGACCAAGTCCCAGGTTGCTGATCTGTCTTTCTGCCTCATTTACACACAATTGCAGGATCTCAATTGTTTCTCTTACTATTGACAAGACAACATACTGTACATATAGCGTTTCTAACTATTGATTATTATTATTTTTTCTTTATTATCATTATTACAGTATTGTTATTATTATTATTATTGTTGTTATTATTTTATTTTACTTTTAATTATAAATTTTATTTACTATGAATTACTATTATTATTATTAAATTTTTGCCCCCCAGGCCCCGATGTGGGTCATTGACCTGTGCCCAGGTGGGCTAATCCCCTTAAAAAAAAAAAAAAGCCAAGTGAGCTCACTCTATCTTGAGTTAGCAAGGAAAATATCACAGTTTTTGGCCCAGTAATATAGTTTAGTATAAACGTTAATATTTATTTTCAACAAGATATAAGCTAAGGTTTACGATCTACAATGTCTTGTGTGTGTCAGGCAGAAATATGACGACATAAGTAAGCATTAGATTTCATTATCTTTATTCTTTAACTTAAATATTTACTGCCACTAATAAAATAAAGAATAAGTACAGCTTACTATCAATGCAAATAATTTGCTCTAAAATTCTGCAATACTCGGCTACATCACAGTTTTAATGATACACACAACACCACTCTTTGGTTAAAAAAATCTATTTACTTTTAATTTTTACAATTGATATTTTCAGGCCTTTCTTTTCCTATCATGTATGGTGTTGCTTGTAGACCTGTCCTCAATGATTGGCCTTTGCTCAATATGGCGCAAAAGTGCCATGTGTTGGGTTTCAGACAGAGCTGCAGAACGTTTTCTTACTACCTCCATGTTTGATAACACGCGCGCAAACATTGTTGCCAAGTACTCAGATGAAAAAATTATCTATTTTGTTTCGAACAGATAATAAAGTTCAATTTTATAAAAAAATATATTTTACAATATATTATTGTGCCGGTATAAAATAACTAAATATCTCTCTCAATCGTCTTTCTAATTATGTGAAATAATACATTTGGCACTCGCGCATGGCTAAAAAAATTTTGCCATCCGACACGAGCTGCCGTGTTTACACGCTCATGTAAGTGCCTGGGAATATGGCACTCAGCGTTGGGTGGTTGCATCCCGACACACGATCATCGAGATGATGATCGTGATCGTCATTATCGTCGTAATGACTATCAATACGGCCCATAATCATTATCACTGACTTGGGCCGGCGGTGGTGGGTGAAGAACTCGGTAATGTTTTGATGACTGGGCAACCTTGTGCGCACCCTGCTCGCGCCACTCTCCGCGTAAAAGGGTACACACACCTCGGAAAGTGAGCATTCCGGTTTCGGCAGGGTACCGCGTAAACGTGGAAACGCGTAAAGTGGGACGCGTAACGCGAGGGTTGACTGTACTGTAATGTAGTATTTGATAAGTGTTAAAACAGATGCTCCACAGTGTACCCATGCTACCTGCCTTCACTGCCTCTACAGTACCTTCAGGAGCCCTTTGGAATTGAAGGTAAGCACTTATTTAAATAATTAATCACCTTAATCTGTATTTTATAGGTTATTATTGTTCTTCCATTACATCTGCTAATCTGCCAATTATTTCTGTGATTGGGCTTTGTGCTTTGAAATTTGCAATAATCCGGATATTTTGCTATTCCAGATCACCTTTCCCCCAATTAATCAAAATTAACAGGGTTTCACTGTACAGTATTTCAACACCAGACATGACAGCAATGGTGTACTTTAAAAATTCTTAAAACACAAACTACCACAGGATACAAGCTATATTAAGTCAAACAAAAAAGAAACAAACATTTACTGTTGTGAATACACTTAAAATTACTTTTTAATTTTACTTTTATCTGAGGTGGAAATAATACCATTCAATTATTTGTAACTCCAACCCCCAGCCTTAACTGGTCATGGTAGGTTTCGAGGAAGCCATGAAAAATAAACAGTAAACACTAACATATGATCATTAGGTTAGGTTAGGTTAGGTTAATATAGTTAGCCTTTTTTCCTAAATGGTCTAAGGCCAATGTCTCCGAGGCTGCTGTGTTAACCACCTCCTCTGCCAGTGACATCCATATGAATATTAAACATTATCCTATTATAGATGTGAACTTATCCAACAGTTTTACAGAATAATTATCTATTTTGTTTTTCATTTCAAGACAGCACTGGAGGCTTGGGAGACCACAAGCTACAGTACTGTACTGTACTGTACTGTACCTATCATTTCCTAAGAAAGTTTGTTTTTTCCTATTCCATCATTGTTCTCATTAATCATAAATACATAACCTTAACTACCTGTACAGTACTTCACAGGCAGTAATCCTCTTCTCAACCGTTTTGATATTGAGCTAAGTTACTTTGAAACTGAGGCCTACAGTACACTGTTTG